CGGGGCCTCGCCCCAGGCGTGCGCTCTCCGCGAGTGGAAGCGCTGGGGCAGCGGTGCGGGGGTTGCCCTGGCCCGTGGGGTTCGTCTATCGCTGCGTCACCGCCGCCGCCGTGAGAAGTCTCCAGGCGGGGATGGCTTTGCTGGGCCAGCGCATACCCGCGCCGTTGAGCACTGGGGTCCTGGGGAAGGCAAGGAGTCTCCAAGTCCTGTTAAAGCATGCGGTCCCGCCCTTCTACAGACGATCAAGGTCACCCAGAGCCGGATTCATAGCCAGGTCCAACCAGAATCATTCCAGCCGAAAATGGTGGTTGGGCATTGGCCAGAGTTGCTCTGACACGCATCCGTGCCTCTGATTGTTTGAAATACTGAAAACAGTCCAGGAGCCCACTTATTTACTGATCCCAAAAGGCCCAGGGACCCAAACAGAGCAGACAGAATTAAGCTTATAGAAGGGAAAGGACTTTTCCAAGGGTCAATACTAGTTTCTTGGTGGAGACAGGACCAGAACCAGTCACTAATGCAGGAGCGTCCAAAAGGCGAAGAGTTAAGACCAGCGTGGACAGTTCCTTGCTTAATCAGGCAGCCCTGTAACCAAGGCCTAACCAAGGCCTAACGAGAAAAACCCAAACCCGAAGTCATCCTCCTGATCCAAGAAGACAGAAAAAAAAAAAAAAACTCCTGGGAAAGAGCTCACCTTCAACACAGATTTTGGGGAGTGGGCATGAGTCAGCAAAGAAACTGGTGTGAAAAACACCTCAAGCTTCACACTTTCAGTTCCGTAGGGCAGGCACCTTTGGAGAGTGTGTGTTTGGTTTGGAAGGTTCATATGCTGTCGCATTGAGCTTCCCACCTCCCATATAAATTTAGGGTTGCCAGCACATCTGTGCAGTGGCTTGGAAGGACTGTCATGCTCCATCTTCCTTTGAGTAAAAAATTACCATCTACTTGAGCCCTTGCTATGTGCCTAACGCTGTGCAAACACTATCTTTATAATCCTCTCCTAACTCCTTACTGGCAAGTGTTACTCTCATTTTATAGATGAAGCACTGGGGGCGCAGAAAGCCTAAGGAACTTGCCCAGGAGTAGGGCGAGGAAGGCATTCTGTAGCTTAAGTAGCTGCCAGGTGGCAGCAGTAAGACTGACTTCTAGGCTGACTGGAAAGCAACTGCTCTTACGCGCTGCTTGACTTCGTTTGAAATACTGGATTATACTGGTCTACTCGAAATTCTAGATCTTGCTACTTTCTATAATATCAATATTCTGTTTTATATTGTTTTCTTACAAGCCAATGCAGCACAATGCAATTCATGCCCTATAATATTTACTCTCACCTCCACTAATTCATTGGTGGAAAGAAAGAGATCACATGTCATGTGTGGGCTACATCACAGGCCCTTCTACTGACAATAGGAAGTGTGTCATGGGTTTTTTTTTCCTAACAAGCATTGAGGATAGTAAAAAAAAAAATTTTTTTTTTCCCAACCTGGTAATCTTTGTAACATCTCTGGTTTGAGATTCAAAAGGTCATATCTTATTGCACATTTGGTACAGGCACCTGAAAATTGCAGGTAGTTATTTCTTCCAGGTGTTTCAGGAGAGGCCCACTCATCTCTTTGAGCTGATAGACATCTTTTCCTCTCATAACAATTAAATTGAAGGAGTTGCCAGTTTGATATTTATAGCCAATAGAGAAATGAAGAGTAGATTAGAAAGAGGGAGGGGAGAGGTAAAGAATTTTACACCTTCTGCAGATATTAGAACTTTTCCTATATGAAGCAAACACAAAATGTATCCAGGTGAGTGTCTTTTCTTTTTTTTAAATGTCTCCATTTATTCTGATTTTCTTTTAACTTCTTCCAACAATGTTTTTGTAGTTTTCAGTGTAGAGCTTTTTATTTGGGGGTGGGGGTTGCTGGCCAGTATGGGGACCAAACCCTTGACCTTGGTGTTCTAACACCAGGGTCTAAGCAGCTGAGCTAACCGGCCAGCCCTGAGTGAGTTTCTATACCAGTCTACTGGAAGACGTGTGTATACATTGCTATGGGTTATTTAGTGGGCATCTCTGCACGTATAGCTCATATTCATACCTGATGCAATAAAGAATGGATAATGGGACTTTGGGTGGATAGATGATGAAATAAAGGATCATGAGCCTGTGGGTCTGTGGGTTTTGGTTGTCAGGAGAGTGGAGTGGGATCCTGAATTGACTGTCATAAAAAGATTTTTTTTTTTTTTTTTTTTGTGACCGGTAAGGGGATCACAACCCTTGGTGTGGTGTCGCCCGCACCATGCTCAGCCAGTGAGTGCACTGGCCATCCCTATATAGGATCCGAACCTGCGGCCTCAGCACTCCCAGCGCCGCTGCGCTCCCAGCGCCGCACTCTCCCAAGTGAACCACAGGGTCGGCCCCATAAAAAGATTTTTAAGGTCTCATCCAGCTAGAAGACTGGCAATATTTCACCTCCAGGGTTAAGTCAACTATTTAAAGACCTCATAAACACCCATGTTCCTCTTATCTTTCTGCTCTGCTGTCTTCGGATTATTCCCCCATGGTAAAGGTAGCTGCTAAAGTTCCAGGTGTCCTAGACCAGACAATGTCCAACAGTATAAGAGCCCATCTCTATGTTTCTCTTTTTATTAGCAAGGAGACCTTTCTCAAAGTGCCCTAGAGACTTCCATTTGTTTTTCACTAGCCAGAACTGGGTCATGTGGCTACCCTAACCCACTCACTGTCAAGGGAAATGGATTACCATTTGATGGAGTTTGGATGTATTGTCCCCTCCAAAACTCATGTGGAATTTTGATCTCCAATGTGGCAGTGTTGGAAACTGATTGAGTCATGGGGGCGGATCCCTCATGAATGGATTAATGCTCTCCCCTGGGGGAAGGGGATTAATGAGTGAGTTCTCACGCTATTAGTTCCCCCGAGAGCTTGTTGCTTAAAAAGACCCTGGCACCTTCTCTCTCTCTTGCTTCCTCTCGCCATGTGATCTGCTTGTACCTGCCACTGCCTGCCACTTTCCGCCATGAGTAGAAGCAGCCTGAGGCCTGTGCCAGATGCAGCTGTCCCAGAATTGTAAGCTAAATAAACCTCTTTCTTTTATAAATTACCCAGTCTCAGATATTTCTGTTATAGCAACACAAAACGGACTAAAACACTATTACTAAGACAAATCAGGATTTACCTTGAGTCATGTGTGTGGTGGGGTTGGGGGTGATGGCTACCTAAACAAAGTCGTGTTTCTCACAGTAAAGAGGAAAGCATGGAATGGATTTAGGGCAGGAAACATAGAGTATCTGCTACAATAGGAGTGTGAGGAGGAGGATCAAGACAGGGTAAGCTGGAAAGGATGCTGTAAGCTGCCCTGCATGGGGCAGGGGAAATATACACTCAACCACACCAACACCTGGAAGCCCTTTATTATCTAGACTTGTAGTTCTCAGAGTTTACAGCATGTGGTATCAAGTCTAACTGCACCTTGGAATTACCTAGGGAGCTTAAAAAATATTGATGCATAGGTCCTAGCCCAGAGATTCTGATGTATTGGGATATAATCTGGGATTCTAGAATGCAGCCAAGGTTGAGAACCACTGACAGAGATCAACAATTCCCAGAGTATCATCTAAGGAACACCAGCCCTGAGGGAGGCACTTCAATACCTGATGCTTTGGTCAGAGAAGTTTGGGAGTCATTATACACGCTCAGGGAGACACTACAGTGCATGCTGAGCATATTAAAAGCTCTGACACGGGGCCGGCCCAGTGGCGCACTGGATAGTGCGCAGCTTAGGAGGCGCGGCAGCGCTGCCGCCCGAGGGTTCGGATCCCACATACAGACCGGCTCCCC